TTTTTTTTGTATCAATTTGATTTGAATATTACGTAACTGTAAATTATATCTTGTCAAAATGCTTAATCTATTAATAAAATCGTATTCTATTCCACTTTTTTTGTAATTTTTGTTTTAACTTTCTATTGAATTATTTCAAAACTTAATAAACACTTGACAAATTGTGCTAATTTTGTAAAATATTTCTGTAAAACATGTGATAATTACTGATTTTTTATTTGATTGACTTGCATATTTTGCAATGCAAATGCAACATATTGAAACATTAAAATTTTATTTTACAATTTTGCAGAATTTCTAAAAATGAGAAAATCGAATTATAATTGTGAAATTTACATTCGTTTATTTTTATTTTTGGTTTCAAAAATTATAAATATTTGATATGATGCGATGTAGCTGATACATACAACATATACACGCGCACACACATGCGTGCACACTCCCACATACACGTACACACACACGTACGCACACACGTACACATACATACACACACACACACATATGCACACACATCCATACAGAAAAAAACACACACATACTACACACATACACACATATACATACACACACACATACATACACATACACACGCACAAACATACATACACACATACACATACATACGCACACACACACACACACACACACACACACACACACACACACACACAGACACATTGATTGGCCAACCGCAGATGTTTGTGTTAGTGGAAGATAATCAATTGGCATCGATCTATCATAGACGCATAGGGGTTCAAGTGATAAGGCATTAATTAATCACTCGATCATTAACCAACCACCTCTGGCCAGACATTCTAAAATCATTCAGTAACCTTCAAATAATCATTATGCCTTCATTATCATTGTTTTACATTCATGTACTGTTCACTCTATTCACAAAAGGTTAGAATATTTATTTAGTTTACCGTCACAGTTAATATCTGATTTTTCTTTATCTTTTTTTAATGATCAGAAAATTTTTTTGATAATTAGAAAAAGTTTTTTTTTTAAATAATTAGAATGCTGTAATATGCTTTCTATTTATAATATGATTAATTAATTAGCAAATAGAAAGAACCCTTTTTTTATTACACTAACTATTAATTAATTTACTTTGAATTTCAGTTATATTTATTTATTATGCTATTATTGGAAAGAGTTTGAATTGTATAAATTCAATTGATTGAAAATTTGCTAATTACCAAAATTTTTAGGAAATTTTGCTACTGTCTTTTGTAATTCTAATTATCTCATTCATCAATTTAATAATATAATGATTAGAATTGGATTTTTTGACGAATTAGATGGTATTGGCGAAAAATTAAATTTAATTGTTGAAATACAGTAATAAATTACTTTCTAAATTTGCACTGAAATAGAATGAATAAATTGATATTTGTTAAAAATGTCAGCAATGAAAATATGTATTCAGTAAATGGTTTGGGATGCATGGGAAGGATTTGTCAAAGTGATGAAACAAACAAGCTAATTAAATGTGATGGCGAATTTTGCGGTGGTTTCAAGAGCAAAAGGTAATTGAAATTGCATAAAGACAGATTGAAAGAAGATTATGTGGGATGCAAATTATTTCATTGCATAAAAGTAAACTAATTTATCAATTAAATTATACGATTAATTATTTTATAATATAAAATTGCTTTTACAAAATTTTTTAAAAATAACGAAAAAAGTAAAATTATCTACAAAACGAGGATTTAAATTTTATTTTACACTTTCTATTTTACAACAAATATATATTATTCATAAATAATGCATAGTTTTATATAAAATACATATATTTGATAAAAGAAATTTGATCGCTTAATTTGAATTCGTCAAATGCAATCAATTGTTTTTTAAATTTTACAGTTTAAATAAATTTCAGACGTGATGGATTACTACTGGAAGCAGTTGATGTAGCGTGTTCACCTCAAAGTGAAGTGTATGCACCATTTGATGGTGATCTTTATTTCTGGAAACCATTTGGTAATCATGTGAATTATGAATGCGCTGATGAGGGCGTACGAATTGAGGGATCAGGTCAATGGCAAGGTATGGTTCACAAATGAATCACTTTATAAGTCAAAATATTTACATATAATTTGAAATTGGATTAGAAAAAAATTAAAATTAAATTAGAATATGTTACCTTGTAACTTCTTGAATATTAACGCAAATTTTTATTATTTAAAAAAAAAAATTCAATATTATACAATGAAAAATTTTTAATTCATTTTTTCTTTCAATCTTTTGAAAATAAAATTTCATCGTAAATATTTTAATATTCCCTCTCTCTCATATTGAAATCATTTTTTCTAGCTGATGAAGATATTATAATCTTGGGTATCACTAGAAATTTAGAAATGAATTAATGATTATAAAAAGCAAAATTAATATTGATTAGATAGGTTGATATTCGAAATTTAAAAAAAAAATGCTTAAAATCTGGCTCAATTAATCAAATAATTTAAATAAAAGATGCATTTTTAGTACGCCTTCGTTGCTTTTTGTTTAAAAAATTTTACAATTCAAATTATATACTGTTTTGGAGGAAATCTTCTCTGATCAGTAATAAATGTATTGTCAAATTTCGGAATATTTCATTTAAGGCTATCATGTACTGATCGCATCGATATCATTGGACTTTTTCGGTGGACGCGTAAAAAAGGGTGAACGAATTGGTACTGCAAAAGATCATCGTTGTATTTATGCGGATGACGATGGTGATCCATATGTTCGGTTACAGTTATTCAAACAAGGACGATCTATCGATCCAACATTTCATCTTTGGAATTGTAAATTTTTCAATGCTTCCATTATCCAAAATTTGATTAAATTAATCAAATATACTCAAAATCCGATTAAATTAAAAAATAAATATGAAAAATATTCATTTTTCTCAAAATAAAATATAATTTAATACAATGAGTACAGTTAATTTGCTAAAAATTGGCAAAATTTGATTGAAAAAGTAATTATGCTTATTTTATGTTTGAATATCTCAATCAGAATAAAATTCGAATTGTTATTGTGCGAATGATATATGAATGGTATTAGCAGTTCATAGCATGGGTTGATAAATCTAATAAAATTTGATTTATCGGAAAAATCGAAATAAAATTAAATTAATGCTTTTTTAAATCTAAACACAAAAATATTTCATAGGCATGTGTACTGGTCAAATTTGTGAATCAAATCTTAAAAATGAATTGCTCGGGCAACCATTCAAGTATGATGGGTTAGTTTTATCAGCATATCTCTCTCATTCAATCATGCAACTGTTTCTAATTTTGATGATATAGAAAATTGGAAAAAAAATTTTTCACTTCTTATCAGATTTTCATTTAATTGTTAAATTAAATCATTAATTTTTGTCTAGTCGATATAATGCAGTACGTGGCTGGGATATCAAATGCCCGAAAATACAGGATGATGATGAGGAGGTAAACGATTTTTATTGTAAACAAACATTTATCATCATATATAGGAAAAAAATAGAGATTGGATTTTTTAATAAATCAAAATTATTCGATCAAATGCTATTAAATTATATTAATAATTTATTGCATGCAGATTATTGAATTTATATGCAAAATTATCACATCCTAAAATTTTTTTCATATTCTTCCAGTGAAAGTTTGATAGATTAAGAAAGGAAAAATTAAAATGGTTTGATTATTTCATACAATGTTTCTTTTTTTTCTTTTAACCTCTTTTTTTTTAACTTTTAATTTGTCTACATAGGAAATGCGTGTTCCGGATATTTACTCACCAATTGATGCGAAAGTTGTCGGACGAACTCGCATATATGCCATTCAGGGTGTTTATACCGGTTGTGATAATAATGGTGTAGTACTTATCGGTACTGGTGATTGGACTGGTAAATTTTTAGTTGAAAATTTTGCAAATTTTTTGTTAAAATTTCTGTCAAAATAATCAGATTACGTTAATTATTATTTTCTTTGTTAATTAAAAATTATCAGATTATGAAGTTGTGCTATACAATGTGCGTTATCGAGATCAATTATTGGGATCACAACATGTTGCGCAGGGTGAACCAATTGCAACCCGACTTGATTGCGAAGATTCACCGGATTCAGTATTTATGGAAGTTAGCGTATATTTAAATTTTAATGCTAACTAATTATGACTGATTATTTATTTAAATTTTGATACTAGTTAATTATCATCAATCATATATGATTATTCTTCCAATATAAATATATCATTCATTTATTTTGATAAGCTTCATTTCATTTATCCAACCAAATTTTCTTTTAATTGATTAAAATTTTGAAAAATTAATTATATTTCAAATATTTCAAATATTTTCGAGATTATTCGAGTTCTTTCAGGTTCGCTATCGTGGTGTTGTTGTGGATATAAGCGAAATGATCTCAGCGAAACGATGTCGTATGCCCGATTTTCCACCCAAATAGGAATAGCTGAAAATTTATTATCCATTCATAATTTTTTATTTATATTTATTATTGCAATTTTGATAGATTCACTTTGCTTCATTTTTCCTTTTTTTTTTTCGTTTTCTTTTTGGTTTATTGATTTTTATTATAGATAAATTTATGTATGCAAATAAATTTTTTGGTTTTTTTTTTAAAATAAATTTTGAATAATTTATTTATATTATTGAGAATATTGATAGAAATCTTTCAATAGGCAAACATTTTCAGAAACTCTCCATCTACTATTCAAAAAAAAATGATGCAACTTATGAGTCATAATAATCTGTGGAATCTCACGTAAATGCCGTAAAAGTTAGCACATATTGATGATGAATTTTGTTATGTGTAATTGATTTTTTGTGTGAGCATAATTTTGCTGCTTATAGTTGAAAAATAATCATTGTTTCTGTATAAAAAATGATAGAGGAACATGGGAGAATTATGTGACGTGAAATTCATGTGATATGAAATTCATAATAACAACTTCAATATCAAATATGAAGAAAATCTTTATCAGTAGGCGTAAAAGTTTATCAGATTTAAACAGAATATCATCAATATTATGATCAGTAATATAACTCGACAACATGTATTAATGATGTAAAATATTTTATTAATTGATTTATTCATTTTATTAAAGAAAAATTTCGAGCTGTCTGAGATGGCTTCATTAATAATAAATTTTTTATAATCGACTATATGTTTACTTAGAATAGTTTGAAATCATAACATTTAGTAGGTAAGATAGAATCATTTTAATTTTACACCAAAAAATTAATTAATTTCCAGTTACCAGTTAATGGAGAAAATTATCTGAATGTTTTTGCACTGTGTTATGGCTTTCATATGTCAAATCATTTTTTGTAATAATCTAAATTCCTTGATAATCCGTAAACTTGCAGTGATAAGAATATAATTTTAGTGAATTATTGAGAAGAAAAAAATAGCACATTTCTTTTCTTTTTTAACACCTAAAAGTATATGCTTTTACATTTTCTTTCATACAAGCAGCTAAAAAAAAAACCGTGTAATTCTATTCCTCGGATCAATCCTCGAATATTGTGAAATACTATTAGCATTTGAAATAATCTTCATGAAATATCGGATAAGGCGTTAATAAAACATTTACAAAAAAAATTTATCAACATCACCAATTAATTTTGCACATAAGCAATAGCTTTTCTCATTAATTTATCCCTTTTAAGATAAATTTAAAATATCTATGTTCTATTTCGTAATTTAAAACATTTTGATTATAATAAATTCAAAAAACAAGAAATAAAACTCAGCATATGAATTATAATTTTTCAAAAAAGAAATAAGACAAAAATAACGCAATTTGTTAGAACATTAATCTTTGAACTTTCCCATTCATCATTATCCTGATGAATGAGATGATTGCAAATTGGAAAAAATTTATTCATAGAAAAGAAGAATGATAAATTCGAATGATTATAATATCAGAGGGATAAAATTGAATAATTAATCCTATTCTTCGAAGATATAAAATTGATACCAAAAAAGATTAATCTTTGAATTTCTTCCCATTCATCAGCTTAATGAATGAGATGATTGCAAATTGAGAAAATTAAAATTAAATTTAACCATAAAAAGAAATAATGATAAATTCGACTTATTGGAAATATCCCTAGGATAAAACTGAATAATTAAATTTATTTTTGAATTATCGCATAAAATTGATCATCAAAGAATTATCGCATAAAATTGATCATCAAATAAGTTACGAATATAAAATCAATTAGCTTTCATAAAATTCATTCACATTAGTCATCAAGTAATGGAATAGATTCAGGACACTTTTTTGTGTGAAATTGAAATTTCCAAATATCATTGAAACTTTTTTTGTGTGTGTGTGTGTGTGTGTGTGTGTGTGTGTGT